CGAGTTAGCCTTCACTCTCCTGTCACATACCCACAGGGGTCTATTTTACTTATCACTCGCTCCCCACCTTCTCCACTCACCATTACCTTCGTCTTACCAATATTAACTTTTAACCCTTTCTTTTCAATAACACTTTTCCATCTGTCAAATTTTAACTGCAATTCTTCCATGCTATCAGCCATCAAGACTAAATCATCTGCATACAAAATCTCAAATAACAACCCCTCCATTATGTTTCCACACACAACGTTGAGAAGTATGGTGACAGTTAATGAAATGCAGTGTGGGTTTATGCCTGGTAGGGGAACGGTGGATGCGTTGTTCATGGTGAGAATGTTGCAGGAGAATTATAGAAAGAAGAAACGAAGATTGTACATGTGTTTTGTGGATCTAGAAAAGGCTTTTGATCGAGTACCGAGGAAGGTCATTGAATAGGCGTTGAGGAAGAAAGGAGTGAATGAGAGACTTGTTAAAGCTGTGATGCAGCTGTATGAAGGAGCAAAGACAAAGGTGAAGGTTGGAAGGGGGATGTCGGACGCCTTTAGTGTTAAGGTAGGAGTGCATCAAGGATCAGTGTTATCACCGTTTCTGTTTGCAATGTTGTATACACACAGACACACACATATGTATATGATAAAATTCATTACTGCCAAAAGTTCAGTAAGGTTTTCGTCAAGCTCACTCTACCGAAACAGCGATCTCAAAGTGGTTTCTGATGTATGTGATGCAGTTGACATGGGCAATATAGCCATGCTTGCACTGCTGGATGTTAGTGCTGCCTTTGATACTGTTGATCATGATATTTTGCTAGAAAGACTCTCAGTCTCATATGGTGTAACAGGGGACGCACTTAGCTGGTTTCAGTCCTCTTTGACAGACAAAATACAGGTTGTCAACGTTGGGAAAGGTGCAGACACAGCTACGTCAGAAATTACCTGCGGTGTTCCACAGGGCTTTGCCCTCTGTTATATATGATATACACTGCCGGTGTAGTCAGCGTTGTGGAATCATCCGGTGCTTGTTGCCATTTGACATTCAACAATACGGTTCTGGGTCTGCGAGCATGTCCTATCAACTCTCTACAACTGTCACAGATGTTGTAAAAGCAGTAAGAGAATGGATGACAGCAAATAAATTAAAGCTAAATATCAACAAAACGCAATACATGTGGCTAGGAACACCTCATAAACTCCTTCAGGTTGACGGGTTCAAAGATCCAGTGACAAATCTAGGTGTGGCTATGGATCCAGACCTTTCAATGAAGTCTCATGTAAATAAACTATGCAAGAATTGTTTTTTTCAGGTACAAAAACTAAGAGCCATCAGACGATATTTGACAGTTGACTCCACAAAAGCTCTTGTTTGCAGTTTCATTTGTAACAGGATTGATTTTTGTAACGTGATGATGTATGGGATCAACCTTTCGCTACAAGATGATGTTCAATCAGTTTTGAACGCCGCTGCTAGACTGGTTGCTGGCGTATCAAGGTTCGATCCTATCTACCAACTCATTAGAGATGAACTGCACTGGCTTCGCATGCCAGAGAGAGTAACATTTAAACTAGCTCTACTTGTAAGAGATTGTTTGACTGGAGATGCACCAATCTACCTGAGGGAACAGATTCAATATAGAGGTCGACTACGATCATCAAGCCGCGGTGACCTACACATTCCTAAGTTCATATCTTCTCATTTTGGAAAAAGAAGATTTTCAGTAGCATCTGTCCAGATTTGGAATGCGTTGCAAAAGTTTTGCCAAATGATGAATCAAGTTATGACGATGTTGTTGAAACTGATAAAGACAATTTTCCACTTAGCAATTCAGATTCTAGAGGAGCATTTTCTCAGGCTGAATTAAATGACTTTGTTAGAGATTTAAATTCATCAAAAAATTTGATCAAAGTTACTGAGATCAAGTTTAAAGGCTAAGAATTTATTAGAACCTGAAACTATTTTTTTATTTTTTTTTGAAGCAGAATTTATAAAATAGTTTTCAAAAGTTGATTGATTCCTTTGTATATTGTTCTTATATACCTGAATGAAGAATTTTTATTGACTCTTCATAACGAAGTCTCAAAGCAGTTCTTTTGCATAATGGAAATATTTATGCCTCTTGGCCAATTGCATATTCTATTCAATTGAAAGAAACTTATGAAACCATGGTGGTGCTTCTTAAAATCAAGTACGATGAGCATTAGTGATTGATATGTGATCTCAAAATAATTGGAATTCTACTAGACCAGCAAGGAGGCTATACTAAACTTCCATGTTTTTTATGTGAGTGGGATAGCAGGGCAGATAAAAAGCTCACTGGGGAAAAAATATTGGCAGTTCGTGAAAGAGTTGGACAAAGAAGTGTTTTGTACCAAATTTCAAAAAATCGGTAACGAGAAGCTGAAGGCAGGGATCTTCGATGGTCCAAATATCAGAATGCTCATGAAAGATAACGAATTTATTAAAATAATGAATGAATTGGAATTAAATGCATAGACTAGTTATAGAGCTGCGGTGCACGAATTTTTCGAAAATAAGAGAGCAACAAACTACGAAGTAATTGTTAATGAAATGCTTTCTGCATTCAAAAAATTAGGATGTCGAATAAGCCTTTTAAGATTCACTTTTTATTTTCACATTTGGAATATTTTCCGGAAAATCTTGGCGATTATAGTGGGTGAAAGGTTTCAACAAGACATTAAAATAATGGAAACCAAAGACGATGGAATGTTAACATGATGGCGTACTATTGGAGAATTTGACGGCTAAAGAATGAGGAAGAAAATCAAGAAGAAAAAGTTTTTGTCCTTAATTTGAAATTTTATGCTTTATGTACTTTTATGTATTTATTTTATTAATTTTTTGAAAAAAATTAACTAATTATTATTTTGAACAAATTATTTTGTAAATAACCGTGAAGATAGAGTGTTAAAAATCAGTAAAAAAAAATATTGAAGCATTTTTAAATTTCTTAACTCAATTTCTAAAATTTCTTCACTTCTTCATGTTATTAAACAACCTATAATTCGATTTTCCAATACTTAATTTACCATTTACAAGTACATATTATATTAAATACTTACAATAAAAACATTAAATACAATAGATTAGAGCGATTATAATTTAATCAAGTTATAAAAACATAATTTTTATAACTAATACAAGTAAACTAATTAAATTATTAAAAATGTTAACGTTATAGTTTTATTTCTTTTCATATAAAACTAAAAAAACTTAGTACCATTGCCTCAGCCCAAGGATTAGATTTGTTAACCAATAAGACCTTGCAACAATTAACATGTCCACAGTGAGCTGCTATGTGTAGAGGGGTTAAATGATCCTAAAATGGTAAGTTTAAAATATTTTTTTGATATATTTGTTTAACCAACTGAAAAATAATTTGATAGCAAAAAAAGTTTCATTAGGAAACTATATCAATATTTATACCCATAAATTTCGGCCTAATTTTTATTTAATACAAAGTCCTACTCCAGATATTTGATGAATACAATGAATCACTTGTTGCATACTCAACCCGTTACTAACCCTGTTATATCAAGAGACATTTCTAGCGGTAGATCAAATGCTCTTTTATCTTTTTCCAGGTCATCAACTTCTGAGATCCATTTATAGTCAGCTTCACTTTTTATGTGTTAAAAACCATTTCAATGTTGTTGTTGTCCTGGGTCGGATAAGGGCTCATTGGATCAGACAAGGGCGGAGCCAATTTGCCACTGCGATCGAGTTTAGCTGTTATTTTGAGAGATGTGGGGTTGATGGTACAGCTAAACAAATGTGTGACATCATCTGGATGTTGATGGCAAAATAGACAGATGTTGATGAGCCTACTCCCGATTCTGAATTTGTAGCTACCAAAAAGATGCTGTGGCATGAGCGGAGTTGAGCTAAGGTCCTAGGTCCTTCTAATCACCCTGGGCAAACTTTCTTCTGACTTGTCTATTTTGGGTGTAAGCGGCACCCATCCATTAAACATCACCGGAGAGTGGTATGAAAAGACGATAGACAAATCAGATTTACACGAAGCAGTGTAGTATTGTTGATGGTTGTAGGAAGCAAGGATTGTAACGACCGTTAGTGACCATTTTGAACGGAGGTTGTCCTTCATGTTGCGGTAAGAAAGATCCTGTGTTAGAATAGCATGTCAAGAGTGCTGCGGACTGTAGAAAGTATTAGAGACAAGGTCTGAATGCTCTCATGGAGAGCATCTGACACTCGACTTATTATGCTGTGGCAACCAGTGATTACCCGCAAAGCAGCATTCTATGACCGTTGTGTTGTAGTATACTGATGTTGAAGTCAGACGTTAGTGGAGACAAAGCTGTACCAGCGTATTCTATGATTGGACGGCCAGTAGCTTCATAGGTTTGTAACAGACTTTCCTTAACTTGTCCGAAAGTGATTCCACTAAGTGCTCTAAGGATGTGTTGCGTTTGGAAGCCTAGAATGTTGTTGCGATTGGAAGCCTTGGATGCTGTCAACTCATGGTGGTAGGAAAAGAATAGCATCGGGTCAAATATGAGACCTAGTATTTTTGGGTTGTGTTCCAGAGTAAGAGCTGGTAGTTGATTTTGATTTGAGGATGGTAGTGGTTGAGAGTGGTGAAGATGGATGTAATAGATTTGGTGGTGAAGATCTTCAGTTTCCGCAAGTAAAAAAATTCATACAACATCGGCAGGTAGCAGTTGAGACGTCAAGCTGGAATGCCCGCTTTTGATCCGGATGTGTAAATGGAAAAGTCGTCATCATAGGAAACAATTCAGGTGCTTTGGAAACATAGTAATTGAAAAGGGATGGCATACCTGTTTCGATGATGCAGTGTATGGAGGCCTGATTAGGATGTCAGATTGAAATGGTTTAGACCTCCAAACCATTTCAATCTAAACCATTTCAATCTGACATACCTTACCTAATCACGTTAGGCAATTCAAGTCAGTCAATTCTTCATTTTCTTTTTTACTAAAACTATTCAGTTAAGTAGTTAATTTAATTTTTATTAGCGATTGCACTTTGCGTTGGAAGCCTTAGATGTTGTTGCATCTCTATATGTTTAGTGTGTACAGTGCTATACAAACTTCATATAACATACTAAATTAGAACGTCATCCTTATTTATTTTTAAAATAGCATGTGTTTCTTCTTTTTGATTTCAAATAACGTAGTATAACAACATGTAAAAGAGGTAAAAACTTAACAACTACATATCATCTTCTTTGCTTAGTAATTACATTACATCTGATATAAAAAAAATCATTTTATAAAAATATAAATCGTATGACTAATTAAATACGTTCTGAAAATTTTTAACTTTGTCTATATGTCGTTTTGCGTCCAGAGACCCGGTTCCCCGAGGTAGGACGTTGTTTTCTTTGCCATCAACTTTTTGCGCCAAATTAGACGATCAGTTGTATCCATTTCATTTAAATTCAGAGCTTTCATGTCTTGTTCGATTGTTTGCGACCAGAACTTCTTTGGACGGCCTTTGGGACGTGTGCCAGGTACTGCAACATCTGCAAGAGAAGTTATGACACTGTTTCCACTTCTAGACATGACCAAACCACCGCAGACGGTGTTGCCGGCATTCGTCCTTTATATCATCTAAACCAGCACGACGCAGGATTTTGGTAGATTTGATGTGGTCCTTCAGACTAATTCGTTGCATCCACCGGAGCATTTTCATCTCGGTTCGTTGAAGTTTTGTTCCAGTTTGGTTGTCATTGGCCATGTTTCTGCACCATATAACAATACCGGACGTATCACAGATTTATAAAGTCTTGATCCTAGTGGTAATGGGATGTCACGCCGCATCAATATAGAGGCGAGGAGATGCCATTTATTCTAGGTTGCACGTATGCGTGCTCGAACGGCATCTTCAGCTGTTCCAATACAATCCAGAACGTAGACGTAGACTCCACCTGATTGCTTCACGGGAAACTCGATCAAATGCTTTTTCAAGGTCTACATGTGTGATAATTGTTGATGCTTTGCGAGGAACTTCTCTTGCAGTTGCAGAAGGATGTCAATTGCATCAATTGCTGATTTCCCCGCTAGGAAACCAAATTGATAATATCCGATTGTGATGCACGACGTTAATCATCTCTCAATGAGTTTCTCGACAAATTTCAGGAATTGTTCTAACAGACGTATAACCCCGATACAGTATACGTATAACAGTTCAATAGATCACCTTTGCCTTTATATAGCGGAACTGTATAGTTCCATTCAGTCGGCATTGAGCAATTTCTCCAGATTTCACGGCAAAGTTGGATACCTGCAGTACCAGATGATTTGATAATGTCATTTGTGAGTCCAGAGGGCCCTGCTGCCTTTCCATCCTTCATAGTGGTCCTCTACAGTGATGTCTGGAATCGGACCTTCGATGGGTGGAGCGTCAGTTAACATTGATAGGATTTGTTTCGTTTAACAGACGGTTGAAGTATTCTCTCCACTGTAGCTTGATCTCATCTTGTTCAAAAACCATCTCATTTTTGTCATTTTTGATACATGAGGCACCAACTGTCTTTTTTCGTACGCTTTGCTTGTTTTGCTATACGATACAGATTTCATTTGTTCACCTTTGATTTTAGTGAGCCACTCTCTGCACTGATCTGTCCAAGCCAGTGCGATTTGACCTCTTGCATAGTTGTTCTCACGAAAAATTTTATGGTCATCAATAGACTTTGATTTTTGCCATTGCTTGTATGCAACTTTCTTTTCAGCTATTGCATTTTGTACACTGTCATTCCACCACCAAGTGTCACGTTCATGCTGACGTTTTGTACCAGTTTTCCCACAAACTGTAGTTGCAGCGTTTATCAAAACGGTTTTGTATGTACTCCAATCTGTACTGGATTGCGATTGGTAGTCTAACTGTGTGGCGACAATCTGTTGAAATTTTTCTCGATGAATATTGCTTTTCAGCTTCCACGTTTTGATTCTCCGAGGCATTTGTTTAGACTTGTTTTGACCGTTCGACAACCAGGTCTACCACAAGGAGTCTATGTTGGGCGACACATGATTCGCCAGGTATAACTTTCACGTTTTTAAATAGCCTGCGGTGTTGTTGCTTGACAGCGAAGAAATCAATTTGCGTGGCTAATGGTCACTTTTGTATGTTATGAGATGTTCCAACCTCTTTCTAAAATATGTTTTCAGTAAACAAAACCCGTGACTTTCAGCAAACCCAAGGATGCGGATGCCATCTTCATTCCGTTCTCCATAGTTAAAACCATGTACGTTGTCAAAACCATCTGTTTTCTCTTCAACGTGGCCATTGAGATCGCCTCCAATCAGGATTGTTTCAGATTTTGGTATTGTTGAGATGGTGTCAGAGAATGAAGCCCAGATGTCATCTTTCATCAAGCCCAGAAGTCATCTTTTATCTGATTCGCCTGTCTGTGGTGTGTATGCAGAAAAAATAATCATTGTTTGCTTTTCTATACGAAGCTTGATCCACATGAGACGTGAATTAATCCTTTTAATATCCAGTACTTCTTGGGCTAGCGGTTCTCTGACAAAAATTCCAACACCATTTTTGGCCGTCTTTTGACTATTCCAGAATAGTTTATATTTTTCTTTGTCTGAGTTGACATGACAGTCAACATTCGATTTCCATCGGGTTTCCTGAAGGCGGCAGATGTCAATCCTTTTGCGCTCGAGCATTTCTGCGATTTCCATGCTGCGGCCAGTCAGTATAATATAATATAATAGTATAATATATATATTGTTCCGTCTTTATTTCTTTGTTTTCGCAGCGACTTTGATTGTAACTTAATTAGAACTAAAGTTAATCATGTGTTTCTTTGTTGGAAGAATATTGGTATTACTTAGTTGAATATTTATTGCTTGTTTACGTTAGCGATTCTGCTATCTTCAATTTAAAGTATTCTTTGTTGTAATAAATTGCTTTGACCAATTTATGACCACGTAATGGAACAACACGAAGACTCACTATGCTTATGCATAGTGTTGTTGTAAATGTGGTAAATGTTGTTGTAGTCATTCCGATGTATTCAGAATTTTGATGCACGCACTCACCAATTCACACTATATATATATATATATATATATATATATATATATATATATATTGTTGTTTGATTGCTTTTTGTTGTCTTTTAGGTGCTATTTTGATATGGACGTTTAAGTCCATTATTTATTTATATTTATTTATTAAATTCAATAAAAGTAATTATAGTAATAACTATATATATATATATATGTATATATATATATATATATATATATGTATATATACAATTGGCCCTTTATCTCTTAGTATTAAATAAATAAAACAAAAAGACACTTATCAAAAAAGTAAACTGAAGCAATAATACATCAAATTAAAAAAAAAAAATTTTAATTAACAACTGACCACTGTAGTATCTTCTATTGGTGCACCGTAGTTTAAAAGTAACTGAATACAATCATCAAAATCTCCTTGTATAGCCATGTGTAAAGGTGTTAATCCATTTTTGGACTGCGCATTTATCTTAGCATTTCTTTCAATGAGTGCGGTTATGACATTACTTTTACCAAAACGAGAGGCGCAATGCAATGGCGTCAATCCATCCTAAAAATTTAAAAAATAATGCAGCTGAAATTTGTATCAACGTAAGTAGTTTTACCTTTGTTTTACTTTCAATATTTGCTTCACTTTCAAGTAATAAAATAATCAGCTTTTCGTGGCCCCATTTGGCAGCCACATGCAAAGGAGTAATGGAATTCTGAAAAAATATTATATCGTATTCAATGATTAAAATATTAAAAAACAGATTACAATAATGAATTGAATAAATATTAATACATTAAACATTACATTAAACATACTCGAGCCTTTGTGAAATTTACATCTGCACCCCATTTGATTAAACATTGGGCTGCTTCAAGACTTCCATAATGACATGCAATGTGCAATGGCGTAAATCCATTCTGCAAATATTTTAAATGAATCGAAACCCTAAAACTCTAAATAAGTGGTATGTATATATATATTCAATGGAGTTTTATTTATATATATATATCAAATCACTTTTATTCAATCAAACAAAACAAAAATACATGAATGATTCGGAGACAAAAAAAATAGAAAATTAATTCTTGTGGGCTCGGCCATAATGCAACTATAAATGAATAAGAAGTATGAGTGAAAATTGTTGATCTGATCAGATACAATGCACCTTCGGTCGTAGTTGGGAGATGGTTTACATTATGTACTCGTACTGGCCTATGTATCTGATGACAGATAAACTATTTTCACCCACACTTTTAACTCATTTTTTCAATTTCTTTTATTCGGCAGAGTAAACAGTACGGCTCTAGCGATTAAAATGTGTTTTTGTGAATTACCTAAAAAGCACCTTGGTTTCCGATCTTGCATATTTAAATAGGAATTGCACTAACTTGTTGTTTTAACTCAGGCTACTAATGAGTTCCGCAATAAAGGAAACGCGTCTCGCTTAAAACGGGTTAGGTGTTCACAAAAATGCACCTTTGGTCGTAGATGGGAGATGGTGTACTTTACGTACTCTTTCTGGCTGATGTATCTGATTGATGACAGATCAACTATTTTCACCCATACTTCTCACTCATTTTTTCAATATATATATATATATATATATTAGGAATGCACCGAAGTTCGGCCCCGGCCAAAATACGGCTTTTTTTCAAATACGGCCGAGGCCGGATTTGGTGGCCGGATTTGAGCGTCTATCAACATTTAAAAATGTTATAAATGGAAAAATAAATTTTATTGAATTCAATTAATTTTATGTCATTAAGTTGAAGGCTAAGCATACATGACACATCATAACAACATCACTAATTGTGAGGTCAGCTGGATAACATGGGTTATACATAAATGATCTTTGTGTAAAAGAACATGTGCACGTGTATATGCTATATAAATGTATATGACGGTTCATATAGCTACATAATATATATATTATATATATATATATATACATAAGACAATATATATATACATATATATATATAAATATATATAAGAAATATATATATATATATATATATATATATATATATATAGATACATAAGCGCATAATTTAAGAACATGGTATGTTGAAGGTTAGGCTAGGTATACATGACACATAATAACAACATCACAAATTGTGAGGTGATCTGGACAATTTTCTTTGTGCTATAACATGGGTTATGCATAAATTATAAGCTGATCTTTGTGTAAAAGAACTTGTGCACGTGCATACATGACACATAATAACAACATCACACAGCTTATTCATATATTTGAATTAATTAACTATTTGCTTAGTGTTATTTTTTGATTTTCAACATGTAGATAACCGTAAATGTATTTTTTCCAACGTATGTAAAATGGCAACTAAAATTCGGCCCCGGCTCCGGCCGGTTTTTGAATTTTAATATATATATATATATATATATATATATATATATATATATGTAAATATATATATATATAATTGTATTAACGCGGTTGATTTTCTTGAAAACTGTATATATATATATATATATATATATATATATATATATATATATACACATGGCTGTTGGCTGTAATGGTTGGATATTTTTTGCTGCGAATAAATCTCAAATTTCTCCGTTAATTTCAATAAATTGCTGTTAAAATTTAGAAAAATTGATTAAATAATAATATTTTAACTCAAACCTAAATAATTCAGTTCTAAATTTTGATTTTTATAAAGTTAAATTAAAAGTTTGTGGTTTTTTAGTTGAATTGCGGTTTGTTGCTAATTATAAATGTGTAAAGTGTACAAAAAGTGTTCAAGAAAAATTTTGTAAGCTGTTACCGGTGTGAAAGTTTGTATCACGCCAATTGCGTTTCTCTATAAAGTAGTACATGTGAATCGCTTAAAACGAATGTTAATCTCAAATGGTTTTGTTACAGTTGCGTTTAAAGATTCAAAACAACATCAAAGAATATTGAGACTGGTCATTGCCAGATATTATTAAAATTGGAAAAATTAAACGAGTTAAAGCTTGAAATTCAGCAAGAAATGAAAAATATTATAATGGTTATTAATGCGAATGATAGCGACTAGTCATTACGTAAAGAAATTACAAATTTAATAGTTGAAATGGGCACTAGGTTTGCTGAAATTGTAAAAAGAGAAGTTAAAACAATGTCGATATTATTAATAATGAATTTAAAGCAGTTCAAAAAACTTTGAATAATGTAACCGAACTTAAAGAAGGAATTGAATTTAATAATTTTTCGTTTGTCTGAAGGTAGTAACGATCGTTCAAACATTTTGAAGATATGTAAATATTTATCAGATAAAGTAACTCAGAAGGACAACGTTAAATTTACAAGACTAGGGTTTTTTGTTCAGAGTCGTGGGTCCAGTAGGAAGGTGAAAGATTTCTTCCAGAAAAAATAACTTAATAAATTGTCAAAGTAAAAATTTGAACGAGGTTAACTTAAATAGGTTAAATGATAAAATAGAGTTGAAAATATCGGTTGGCTTACTAAATATTAGGTCAATTGTTTCTAAATTTAATATAGTTAGTTAGTTAACATAAATTAATCTTGGATGGGCTAGATATTTTTGTGTTAGTTGAAACCTGGCATAGGTCGTCTAATGATATTTCAATTAAAAATTCAGTTGAGATACAAAATGAAAATATAGAGTTCAGTCAAAAATTAACCAATTTGGAATGTATTTTTGACACCAAATTGACGATGAATGAGCATATAAAATCAATAGTAAAAGTTCGTTCAGTTCAGCTTCAAAAATTGTATCGTCAGATCATTAAACAATCAACAATGCAAAAAATACAGGAAAAATACTTGGCAAAGCAAAGGCGACAGTTCCATGTCTTTGTGGAATTGGAAAAGGCTTTTGACAGTGTCTCGTCAGGTGGAGTCTAGATAACATATGGAATGTGATATATGCAAACGATATTGTTCCGACGGCAGCCTCGGACTAAGACGCAGCCAGAAAGTTTGAAGTCTGGAATGCTTGACAAAACAAAAACTATGATCACCGGTGGTACCGCTGAGTATGTGGTTTCTGGTCATTGGCCATGTTCGGTGTGTGGGACTGGAGTCGGAGGCAACTCGAACAAATGCCTACGAGGTCAGCAGTGGTGTCACAAACGATGCTCGAGAATTACCGGCTCACTGAGGAAAGTGACTGATTTCGTATGCCCCGCTTGTATCAACCCGCAACAACGGAGCCAAGATAATGATGCGATTATCGAGATCGAAACTGTTACTTCATTTTAGTATTTGGGAGATGTGCTGGATTGTACTGGAACAGCTGATACCGCTGTTCGTGGATGCATATGTGCGGCGTGGGGCAGATGGCACCTCCTTACCTCAGTACTGATGCGGCGTACCATTCCTCTACCGCTGCGTTCAAAGCTATACGTTCTGTTCTTGTGTATGGTGCAGAGACGTGGCCGATGACAACAAAACTCGAACAGCAGCTTCACCGAACTGACATGTAGATGATTTGTTGGATGCAGCGTGTTGACCTAAAGGACCATATCCATACAACCGTGACCTTGAACCAATACATGTCGTCGTCATCGCCTACGATGGTTTGGTCATGTGAAGCGAAGCGAAATCGATACAATAATTTCCGTTACTGAGCACCTGGTTCCTGGCACCAGCCCAAGAAGTCACCCAAAAAAGTTCTGGACGCAGACGATACAGGAAGACTTTAAGGCACTTAGATAGATAGGCTTGGAGACAGAAACTGATGAATGGAATAAAAAAGTCCGACCCATAAGGATGGAGACTATAAACGAGGATTGATTGATTGGTTAGTATTATGTGATTGAGGTGTTTTCACTGACATTTCAAAAATTCTTCTCCATTTTTAATAAATTTTTGTTTAAATTCTTTTCTGCCATTATCTCTCGATAAGCAAAAAAGGAAAGAGAAAATTAGTGGACAATGGTCACACATACTTCAAGGATAGGGCTACAGATCCAAACGTTTTATGGAAAACTAATAATTCTTGCGAAGGATGCCAATAGAACCTTTGGCGAATTAATTGGAGTGAGTCACCCGACTGTTTGGAAAATTATCAATGGCTTAATGGATGAGCAAGCACTAAACGAAGGAAAAACTGAACAATACCTCACCAGTGGAGATCACCTAGCAACGAAATAGTGATATCGTCATACTGCCATATCGTCATCAAACTTTATCATTCACACAACTAGTTTCTATTTATCGATCACCTAACTAACTCACTAAGTCATCATCTAGTTTATTAATTTACATTTTTTATTTTATTGTCATTTTATTTTATTTATTATTTATTTTATTCTATTTTATTTTACTTTTCATGTTTAAACATTTTTCTTTCTCCGTTTTTTTTATTTATTTACTTATTCGTTTAATTTTATACTACTGCCTTGCATGCTGTAACAGTTTCTGCGTCTGTCAGATCCTAATTTTTAAAGAATAAAAAAAATAATTTTCTTCATGGCTTTGAACTTTTTTAAATTTGTCTAACAATAAAAATTACATCAACGGTACTAGTCCCTAATTCTTGGCTCCAACATTCTTTCCTCACCTTTATAAAATGCTCCAATAGCTTAATTGCTCTATAAGATCCAGAGTCTAAAGGATCCCCTTTATCTATTATATCGGTAGGATTGTATATTTTTCTCTCAATCTTCTGAGATATCTTTTTCCATAATTACTATATTGAACAAAATCAGTCGGTCTCTCAATTCCACAATCACCCGTTGCTTTCAACATTTCTGTTACCATTTTAGAATTACCAGCAGCTTTACTAGTCTTCATTTTTAGCGCCCAATCAACCTCCCCTTTCTTTATATACTCATTTTTTTAGAGCCAACTCATCCTCTGCTACATTTATATTTGCAGCGACATCCCCATCACAATAATTTTTTTCAATTTAACAATTAATTTAATTTAATTCAATTTAACAGTTTTTCCATAATTTTTCTTTTCTCTCTGGGTCTAAAACAATGACGCCTTTGCTATCCGTCATGCAATTTACTCTAACATCCTGTATCTCCATGTTTCCAGACTTTGCGTTTTTATCGTCCTTTGTACTCAGGTTTTCTGATAAATCTTTGCAGTAGTCTCGTTTGCTATCGCTACTTCCATTGTAGCCTTCTGTTTGATAGGCCTTATGTTTAAATATGTTACTGAAGTTGTCATGAGTGAAAACATAAAACCAAATTTATACGTAGAAAGTATTTACACAATTAGCATGAAGAAAACATTGACAATGATTTTGGTTGCTTATCGTGAAAATATATTTCAACAAACTTTTGTTTGTGAGTTGATGCTGAATCCATCATGACACAATGCATTTATAACTAGAACATCATTTCTTTTAGCAGCTGCATGAACTTTCGATAAAGAATTGGATCTAAGTAAACTGCTGTATTTAGTGCTTTGCAAAGGGTGGAAAGCATGCCGTGTTAGAATAGAGACAACGTCATGATTTCCTAATTGTTTAGCAACATCCAAAGCTTGAAAGCCATCCTAAAACAAATATTTATAATTCAGGATTGCCAAAAATTGTAAAATAATTTAATTACATCAAAACACATACATTGGTGCATACTAGAGGATCGGCTCCTTTATTTAACAAAAGCTTGACTATTGCCTTGTGATTTTCTTGTGCTGCCATGTACAAAGCGGTGAAACCTAGCTGAAGGTATAAGATAAAAAAGTTCAAATAAATTTTACACAAAAAATTTTTATACAATAAAAAATATCAGTAACACCTTTAGAAAAAAATAATTTATACAGACTACTATATCATTTTTGAACGAAAGCCAATGACATTTTTGTTCAAAACACGTTAAAAATAAAAATCTCGTGCTCAAATTGAAATATAAATGAAAATATACAATAGGACATCCGTATAACGAATTTTAAGGTTCCAAGAAGAAATGTCCCGGGCATGACATAAAACTGCATCCAAATTTAAAGTTTGAAAATAAAACATGACACTAGTTCTATATCATCGTTTCACATCAGAACATGTCCTGACATTGACATCGGCATTTCTGGTGCTGCCACTTTTGCTGTTGTTATTGAAAACTTAATTCCTAACCTGAACATAATCAGGCCAAGAACTTGATCTTTCAACTATTTCCGCCTACTTCTCATCTACACACAACCGGAATGACGTAGAAATTATATATATATATATATATATATATATATATATATATATATATATATATATAAATCCTGATGAAGGAGAAAGCATTGCACCTGCTGTTCGAGTATGGTGTACTTGGGTACCGAACAATTAATAATTACGCCATAAAGGTGATAGAATTGTTGAACTTGGCCGAGCAGTACGTAGTACCAACGGTGTATCCAAGTATAGCCAAAGCAGGTAAAGATAAAGAAGATTTTAATTGAAGGCCATATTTAGTACCAAAAGGAGAAGCAACTATGTTTGCCAACAACCAGATTGCAGACCGTGATATACCTTTTTCGGGGCACATTGCTACAAAATCAATGAGGCAACGTATCGCCCTTAGCTTTCAGTTTCCAGAGATGTCTGAAAAAATCCGAAAGTACTGTCGCTCGTGTAGAATATGTCAATTGAGGGACCTTATCAGAATATCAGAAAGGACTACAATAACCCCTGATCAATGATGGCAGGTGCAATCAAAAGTAAATCTGGAAGATTATAAATAAAATGCATTGCAAAAACAGGCATCTGCATTTTGTTCAGACGAATCAAAACTGTTGGCGCAATCGTTTTAAAGATTTTTTAACGACAAAATTTTAAAGTTAAGAAATGTACAGCATCTAGTGATACACCATTAGTTGTTTGTAGTGATGATAACAGCAATGTATTTTCGGTTTGATTTGTTTTGGATTCGCCGGCTAAAATTTGCTATCTTGACTGCTTTCCTGCTTGCTTTTTCAAAGACAATTTTAACTTGTTTACAAAAATTATAACTTACTTGAAATCAAATATGTCTGAATGATTTGTCAATTTTATCAATAGAGAGTGATGTACTTTGTAATGTATCTTTAACGAAATTCACAGATTTACTGAAATGAAAGTAAGGCGAAAAATAATGAAATCATAAATGTACTATTGAATAGAAGACTTGCATTTTGTATTACCAACATTCTATTAATCAAATAATTTGTACTAAAAGTGTTTCATTTTTGTATTACTATTTTTTACTATAAACTAAAAAATTTCAATGTCGGTTCATTTAATTGATTGGATAGTTTGCAGTGCACAGATATTATTTTTCTTATTTTACCCAAAGTTTAAAACATTTAATAAATAATAATTATTAATATAAATAAAAATAACTTTATTTTGCTAGTAGCAGTATTAAATAGTGTTTGTTAACAATCAGAAAAAGTTAAGTAAACGAGGGGCGGCAAAATATTTCAAGCCTAGAGCACCAAATTCTTAAATCCGCTTTTACATATCAAAATATTGTCACCAATATTTTTTCCTGTTATTTTCATACATCTTCATACTCACATGGGCCTGAGCTAAATAGAACTAATATTTTCTGTATTCATAATTTCATTTTCATCGTTTCATACATTCGTTACATCCTCTGCGCTTGATAGAGTTAATTTACAGAATAAAAAAAATTTCAAATTTATATACATGATTGTCAACCTGGTGACAAACAAAACTTATCAAGATGGATTTTTTTGACATTTAATTACAGTTTTAAGTGTTTACTTATTTGTTTGAAAATAGGTTTATAGATTTAAATCTTTAAATTAATAAAACCAGCAAGCCACTATGCCATGATCAAAGCAAAGGCGCTAACATGTTTAATCTTGAAAATGAAATTAGTGAGACTGCAAATTGCGTCGTAAAATGGAATTGTTATTGTTGACTTATACAAATTCGTGAAATAAGTTTTTTACACAATTTCAAAATAATTAATTGAAAAATAAAGAAACAATATAAAAATTAAAATAATCATGTTACTGATGACTGCAGATTGACATCAGCATCCATATTTAGCAACGTTTTGACGACAGCAGTTTGACCACATAAGCAAGCAATGTGCAATGCTGAATTTCCTTTCTAATAAAAATTAAAAATTATTGCTGAAGCATGCTTCTTGAATATGCTTTTTTTAACCACAAACCGTTGTAATTGAATTAACATTGGCATTTCTTTTCAAAAGTTCTTCAACGATATCATCATGACCTTCTTTTGATGCAAGATGCAAGGCTGTCAGACCATTCTAATGAAGTGAATGAGTTAATGAAGGTTTAAATAAAAAAACTTTTATCAAATGATATGTAATAAATTCTTTTCAATGAAAACGAGAAAAAAACGCTGATGAGCATTTTAAATTGAATAAAAACACCTCAAACTATATCGTGCTATCACAACAATTTATTCGCCAGAACGAATATTAAATTGTACAATGGAATTGTGACGGCCTGTGAACAAAGAAAGATGAACTTCAATTGTATCTTAAAGAGCATCAACCAGATATTGTTGCAATTCAGGAAACGAAACTTAAAATAAATGATAGCTCGCCATCTTTTACCGGATATAGCAGTAGCAGTCTTAGAAAATACAGGGTGTTATTCCGTCGAAAGGAAGAGCAGACCAGAGAAGGAGGTCTGATGACTTTAATCGGAATCAATCAATCAATCAATTAGCTTATAAAGCGCTATTTCCGCGATGTTCAACAGCGCTCCTCATGAATTTTGAAAACAGATGGGTCTTGAGATCCGCTCTGAACCTCGCAAGTGATGGAGAAGTAGTCAGAGAAGTAGATAGAGAGTTCCAGAGAAAAAGACCAGAAAAAGCAAAAGCAGATTTGGCAAAAGAGTGTTTAACACGAGTTAAGAAAAAGCGAGAACAAGAAGACGATTGTAAACCGGAACGTTTAGGTTCAATTAATATATCTGATAAATACTTAGAAAATAATTTAGATTGAGACTTATACATAAACGTGCCAATTTTAAAAATTATTCTATATTTTATAGGTAGCCAGTGCAAGAGAACAAGATATGGAGATAAATGAGAAAAGAAATGGACACGAGCAACTAGACGAGCAGCAGAGTTAAAAGCTTTACTTAATAGATAGAGTATAGAGTCAGGAAGACCATAGTAGAGCGAGTTACAATAATCAATCCTAGATAGGACTAACGAAGTAACAAGGAGAAGAGTAGGATCATCAAGAAAAGGCAAAAGTTTTTTTATTCTACGTAGATGAAAGTAAGAGCTTCTAGCAACACTATTAATCTGAGAAGAGAGACATAGTAGAATCAAAGATAAAACCTAGACTACGAAACTTATGAGAGACATCAAGAGTTTTAGAATCAGGTAAGATAATAGGAGGAATAGTAATAGAGTGTTTAGATTTATTAAAACAAATTAATTCAAACTTAGAAGGATTAAGTTTAAGACACATAGAGTCAGACCAAGCGATAATTGAAGAAAGACATAGAGATAGATTATGAAGAACACTATTGAGATTAGATGGAGGAAAAGAAGTATAAATGTAAGAATCATCAGCATATAGTTGACAAGGGAAAGAAAATTTATTAATAATACGAGGTAGTTCAGAAGTATAGAGTATAAATAGAAGAGGGCCAAGGATAGAACCCTGAGGTATCCCGAAAGTAAGAGTAGAGGAGTTAGAAGTAGAATTATTGAGAACAACAGAAGAAAAACAATTACAGAGATAAGAAGAAAACCAAGATAGACAATACAGTAATAGACAGTAATATTAAAAGAAAGATGTAGCAGTCTCAAGAGAATAGTATGATCAACAGTATCAAAAGCCGAAGAAAAGTCAAGAGAAAGAAGAAGAATAAGATTACTATTGTCACTAGAGAGAAGGATATCATTGTGTATTTTGAGTAAAGAAGTTTCAGTACTGTGAGCAGGTCTGAAACCAGATTGAGATACAGGTAGCAAGGAGTTAAAGTTTAAATAGGATGACAGTTGACTAAAAACCACTTTTTCTATTATTTTAGAGATGAAAGTAATATTAGTAACAGGTCTATAATTAGATAAAGAGGTAGGATCTAAGGATGAGTTTTAAAGAATAGGAATAACAATAGAATTCTTATAAGAAAGAGAAAATTTGGAAGTGGAAAAAGATAAATTAACTAATTTGAAAATGATTGGATAAAATATTGAAGAAAATTCTCTAATTAAATTAGAAGGAAGTAGATCTAGAGAACAGGTTGTAGACGACGTAGAATTAATAATTTTAGTTAGTTCTAAAAGATTTATTGGAGTAAACACAGAAAAAGATTCAGTAGTAAGTTTAGTAAAGTTATGAGAAGAAAAATTAGAATTAGATGTTCTAAAAGAAGTAATTTTATTTACAAAAAAGTCATGAAATTGTTGAGCAGAAGAAGATGAGTGAGAGGATTTCTTATGAAAAAGTTTAGATAGAGCAGACCACCTATTTTTAGATGTTGAAGCAGATGTTAAAGAATTTCTAAGAAAAGTAGAGTGTTTAGAGAATAGTAGATATTTATAATTAATCAATTCAGATTCATAGATAAAATAAAGAGAGTTAGATGGGTTTAACCTATAGACCTTCTCCAGTCTTCTAACACTTTTCTTGGCTACTACACAAGCATGATCGAACCAAGGAGCCTTACGAGAATAGAGCCTATAGGTAAAAGATTTAAGAGGAATAAGCTTATCAAGAATAGAAGTAATGTAGATATTAAAAGCATAGACAAAATCATCAACATCAGAAATCACATACCTTATGTTGTTAATGAACTAGCAGATCCAAAGTCAGGTGTAAAAGAAATCCTATGCGTTGACGTCATGCTGGGCTCAAAAGCACGCAAGGCAGCGTGGATGCATTTTTATGTCATGCCAAGGACATACATATTGAATTTGTAGAGTAAATTTTAATAAAAACGTTGCGTACCTTTTACTTTACATATTACTATATTTATATATTATATTACATATTATTAAAATTTACTTTACATATGGATTTTGTAAAGTAAATTTTAATAAAACGTTGCGTATTTTTGGCACAAAAAATTGATGGCAAAGAAAACAACGTCCTACCTCGGAGGAATTGGGTCTCTGGACGCTAAACAAAGATTGGTTGATTGATTGGTTGATTGACGAGATACAGCAGATCAATGCAGCAATTTATCAGTGATGGTTTTCACTTAAAACCGTGCCATAGATCAATTCTAGTCCAATTTGATTTTTCAAGAGCGCACGATACGGTGTGGCAGGACAATTTGTTAATCAAAATGTTGAATAGTGGAATTCCTTTAATATTTGTATCATATATCAAAGCATGGCTTCGACACCGTAAAGCAAAAGTAACATTTGGCACAGTTACAAGCAAGCTGAAAGCAGGACTGCCGCAAGGAGCAGTTTTCTCCAACTTTATTTCTCATATACATCAACGATCTGTTGTCAAATTTTCAACCAGACATAGTATAGTATGTGCATTTGCAGACGATTTGGCCTTGATGAGACGTGGTATGGATAAAACCAAAGGTAACAGCAGATATACAGATAAAAATAAATAAGGTTGACAATCGTATGAAGTTGAATATTGACAAATTATTCCCTCTTTTTAACTGCAGCGGTCGAAGCAGACTGATTATGAACGTTGAAGATTAACGAGGTAAAACTCAGATTTGAAAAAAAAACCTGTGTTTCTTGGTGTATACAACCGACTGCTAAATTTTGGTGGAACATGCCAAACAAATAATACAAAAAATGAACAAAAGGTATAATGTTTTAAGAGCACTCAGAGGTACAACTTGGGGATGGCAAAAAAGACGTTACGGTCAATTTATATTGCCCTCCAAAGCAACGTGGCACAATACGGATGTGCAGCGTGGAGCCCATGGATGTCATCAACGCATTTGATAAAAAAAAGTATCAGCCCAAACAAAGACAGCAAGGCTGATTTCAAAAGTTTTTCGTAGTTCTCCTAAGGAAGCTGCCCTTCTTGAGTCAATCTTTTTCCACTGACAGAGAGATGGAGAGAGATTGTTATGAGCCTTAAAATGGTACAACTGTCAATATGATGACGACCGTAAATCATTGGCCAGTCAAAGATTAAAGAAAAAAAAGGGACTGGCGACTATCATATTACGATCCGGTGAAACAAAAGTTAAGCCAGCTGTCCATAATGAGACAGCTCAATGGAACAGAATATCAACCGTCATGGAACCAGATTTAATGCAACATAAATGCGTTAGATTGTATTAATGAATTGAACAGTGAAAACCGACAGGCGTATGTGAATATTGCCTTAAAAACAGCTTGGGAGTCGGAAGTTCAAATCTACGTAGATGGCCCAGTTGACCCTATCACAATAACCGTAGGTGCAGGCATTGCAGTATACAAAAACTATGCTGACAAACTATGGGGTCAGTGTAGACGGATGGCGCTGTGGTAGCTATGATGCAGAATTAACTGCCATGATGGAAGCTGGATGAATAACAACGTGAGATGGAAAAGCGTTGCAATCCTAACAGACAGTAGTACGATTGTTAATGTAATAAAAAAAACATTAATTATGACCAAGGAATAATGCATCTATTTAAACTTAAGAATGATGCACTCATAAACGATAGACAAGTGGTAATAATATGGATGCCCAGGTCATAACAGGGCGGATAAAGAAGCGAAACACACAAAATATAAAGTTGTTAACAGATTGACAAATCAAAATAGGTTGCGTAATACAGTAACAGGTGAAGTATGTGGAAAAAGGAAATTAATTCATCCAAGATGTAAATCTGTTAATGTCCAACCTTTAGTCAAAATAGAAGATTCTTTTGTAAAGTAGAACAAATAAATCTGAGTAGATTTCGCACAGGACATCATCTTAATTTGAGAAGTTACATGAAAAGGATCGGCCTTTGTGAATCAACTACATGTAGACTATGTGGTAGAGACCTGCACGGGGACAGAAATTCAAACCATCCCCATTCCGTCCCCATGGAATCAGTTCCAACCCCGTTCTGTCCCCATCCAAATGATTTCCATCCCCGTTCAAATCATTTCCATCTCCATTCCGTCCCCATTCAAATGATTTTCATCCCAGTTCATTTTCAAACATTTCAAATATCAGAAGACAACTACTTAGCATAAATGCACATACTATTTTATTGCAAAACTATTAAAAAACAACTAAATATATAAATTAATTTATGAAATAAAATGTAACTAAATTTAAAAAACCAGCAAAACCCAAATTCAGCCATGTAATCCATGTAAAAAAAAGTAGTCTGGCAATATTATCTGGAGAAAGTTGACATCTTCTATCATCAATTGTCTTACCAGCCAAAGAAAATACTCTCTCTGAAGAAGTACTGGAGGCGGTAATACACATCAAAGATGTGGCAACATGAATAAGCTTTGGCCATATAGTTGATTTTTGTGCCCAAAATTCCGAAATGTTTAAATGGTCATAATTTACCACATATTCTTCTAACTAAGAAGGAATATAATTAACCTTTCGCTGTTTTTCCTAACTAACTCTTGAACTTCAGATTTTTCCATAAAACTAATATTATATAACAAACAAAATAAAAATAATACAATAACAAGAACTTTTTTATCGACCAAGAACACGAATGCTAAGTAAAAACGAAATGCGAACTTCTCAGCAGGAAGCGAAATAACAAAGAACGGCTAGGAAGAAGCATAGAAATTATTTTTTGTAGAAATGTAACATTTTGAATTTTAACAAAATTAGTTTTTTTAACTAACAAAAATGGCATCTTCTTGCCTCTATATTGATGCGGCGTGACATCTCACTACCACTACGATCAAGACTTTATAAATCTGTGATACGTCCGGTGTTGTTATATGGTGCAGAAACATAGCCAATGACAACCAAACTGGAACAACAACTTCACCGAACCGATATGAAAATGCTCCGATGGATGCAACGAATTAGTCTGAAGGACCACATCAAATCTACCAAAATCCTGCGTCGTGCTGGTTTAGATGATATAAAGGACGAATGCCGGCAACACCGTCTGAGGTGGTATGGTCATGTGGAAACAGTGCCATAACTTCTCTTGCAGATGTTGAAGTACCTGGCATA